TGGATCAATTGACGGGAAGGCCTGCAACCAATTCCAGATAATCCTCTCGCCAGACACGCGAAAAGCCCGACAAGGCGGAGACACATGTTCGCGGCTACGTGCCATATATATTGACCCTCACCCTCGGAAAAGTTTACATCATTGCAGGAAACGCGATCCGAACCATACCATCTGATCCGGGGCGTTTCCCGATTCGAACGACGGAGGCCGTTGGGCCGCGTGCCACGGGTGCGTCGACCGGGGCACGCGGAGGGGAAGTTGGAGATGCCAAGGTGAGGGACCGGGACGCTATGCTGCTTTTAACGCGGAGGATGGTTGTCCGAAAGTTGGGGTCGGGGCAAATTGTCAAATGAGACCAGGCACAGGCGAAGATAGATCGAGGTGTGGAATTGGCAAACCATACTTCAAAGACCGCTGGGATGCGATCGTACCTGGTTGAAATTCCCACTCAAGATGTAAAAGTGGGTAGCGTCCATGGTGCCATTCCCGCGACTATTCACTGAGCCCGAGACTCTCGGGTCATGGTAAGCCGCACATGAGCCTTGACCAGTCTACCCGTGGGCATATTCATCCCTTGGAAAGCGTCGCAAAGGTCAATGAAGCCCTTCGAGTGAACACCACAGAGTTTGACAGCTCCTCGAGCCAACGGTCAAGTACAGCGATCTTCAACTGCAGGCTCAAGCCAAGAGAGACCTAGCGTCAGGGCCATCTATCCGACGGGATGAACTTCCTGCTCGTCCGAACAATTGACATGGGGAATTGGCAAAGCCGATCTAAGTCTCGCCCCCCAACTTACAATTATGCTATGTCCCCGCGTCGGGTAGCCGGCTTGTCTTCCTAAGCCTTTCCAGCTGTATTCAAGAACCACCCAGGCTGCAATGCTCTCGATTGCTGCGCCGCCTGCATCTCCTGGCATCTTGCCTTCATCAACATGAGGTATAGTCGGCGCTTCTTCTACACGTACACTGGAATGAGAGTAGGAAGATAATTGTGCCTTGGCCATCAAAATACGTTGGGTCACACTTCATCTCATGCTGGTGCAGAATCCGCTTCCAGAAAAGTGCGGGGTTGTTTACTTCCAATGCGGGTAAGCTCTGATTTTGGTTGTGGTCCTTGGAAATTCTAAACAACTTTTGCGATGGAGAGAGAATTGGCACCCATGTAGATAACATAACACAAATCACTACTGTGAAGCCTTGCAAGTCCTATCTGGCAAATCGAAAACATGACCATGTATTAATGAATGCCTCAAGTTCGCGGTAGACACAGTACGCACAGGACGATAGCGTAGCGTCTGTCAGAATCATTGCCATGGCAAAAGTCAAAAAATGAAACTCGTGAAGTGAGTCCCGAATTGCCTCGTGGCGGAATCGAACCGCCGATCTTCTCATGTCACTATTACTAGTGAGACGCTATACCACTTAGCCAACAAGGCTTGCTTCTGTTCGCCCAGAGTGCGGAATATGTTGGGCGACGACGAGTGGGACGATGGGTGGAAGTTGAGTGGGTTTCGAGAACTGGGGCCTGGCAACTTGGCCCAGGACAACCCAATATGGATGGACATGCAGGCCATGCGCAGAAGCGCTGGAACTGCAGAGTGGGCTGAAACCCTCCAGTAGCTTGATCGATTCCTCGCTAAAACCGGTCGATATCGGCAAGACGTATCATTCTGAGAACGTTGATCCTTACATGTACCCAAATCCAAAGCTCAACTCGTAGGTTAAAGGGAACCTTTCTCTCAGTTTCACCAAGCACAACGTGTACTAGTCAGAAGAGTATGACTTAAGTTGATGCCCAATTCAAGTGGTTGAGCGGGAGAATCTTTGGGCTGTTTTGAGACAGAGGCTTTGTGACTATATGAATCACTGTTGAAACCCATCAATCCGAGGGTCTCAACAGGGAGTTCCGAGATACAACAAGAGCATGAAAGTTGCGAGCTTCGCACTTACTTTGACTCCTCTCAAAGTGGGAACGAGGGGAGTACTGTTGAGAATACCACATGAGCCGCTAGGAATGGACCGGAGGAGGAGAAGTTAGTAACTGTTCTATGCTTTCACACAGCCTTGACACTGGTCCTGAAAGCTGAACTGGACATCCGGTGCTCTGCTCTACTGGCATCGCTTGGTTTCGGCAATTCAAGGCAACTGCCATCAGAATGCCACGTCAAAGTAAGCCGTGCTGTGATGGACCAGGGACAAGGTATAGGGCCTGTCGACGAGTGCGTGGTTTATGAGCTGCATCAAGGCCACCGCTTAGACTGCCACCTGTCACTTTTTTTTGGCCTTCTCCTAACATTTTGACCAAGTTCACTCTTAGCATCTGCTCTGTCAAGTTGCCAATCTCAAGTAGGGGATACAAACAATGGTTGTTTGCGTTACCCAGCGCCCAAAAGTTGCACAAACTCGAATCTGTAGGAATTTTTGTCACTCGCACAAGTACTACACATACAACTTGGATCTTTAGACTTATCGAGATGGATGCTTTGACCTTGGGATTCAGCCCATTTAAACAAAACGGAACCAAAGCCACAATTCCCGCATTTGGCGTACCAACGACGGGGCTGGCCCTCCGTGATCCCATCCTACTGCCGAAATCCACCAATTACCGAGACTAGTAGACTGCCGCTGACAGCCTTTTAGTAAAAATCTGGGGAAGTCCTGGAGCATGGCACGTAGCATGCGTCAAGGATCAGTTGATTGCGGTGTGTCTTCCACGTCCACGGGGTCCTACCTTCATTTACAACACGCTCGCTCACTCGTCAAGTCGCCCCGTCAAGGGTAGTGAGGGATCCTGGCCAAGAGTCACAGCTATGAGATTCCTACGTTGGATCAGACGATTCATTTACTTTCATTACAAATGACCGGGAGGAAAGTCGGTTGAGATGTCGAGTATATAGTAGCGAACCCAAGTTGAGCATGTTGGAGCTATTTCTTGCGCACGCCATCCTCCTTGACATCAATCAACTCTTCCCGTATACCAAGCTTTGATCGTCATGAAGTCCGCTATTCTATCCTTGTTGGCGATCGCGGCCAACCAGGTTTCAGCACACGCGACCTTTCAGGCTCTGTGGGTTGATGGAGTAGACGTATGCCCAAGCCCTTGAAATGAGAAATCGCAAGCTTGCGCTGACTGGTAGTAGTTTGGCGGCCAATGTGCCCGACTCCCGCTTTCAAACTCACCCGTTCAAGACGTCACTTCCAACGATGTTCGATGCAATGCCAACGGCGGCCCAGTTGCTCGCAAGTGTGTGGTCAAGGCCGGATCCTCAGTTGTGGTCGAGATGCATCAGGTACGTTGAACCACACTGTTCGATATGAACGTTCCATGTAAGATCTAACGTCCTCGCTTACAGCAACCCAACGACCGAACATGCACCCAAGAAGCCATCGGAGGCGCACACTACGGCCCCGTTCTCGCCTACATGACCAAGGTTTCCGACGCTACTACCGCCGACGGCTCGACCGGCTGGTTCAAGATCTACCAAGACGGATGGTCCGCCGCGGCCGGCAGTGCAAACGGCGACGGCGACAATTGGGGATCAAAGGACATGAACACCTGCTGTGGTAAAGTCCAGGTCAAGATTCCCTCAGACATCCCCGCCGGAGACTACCTCCTTCGCGCCGAGTCCATCGCCTTGCACGCGGCTGGCTCAAGCGGTGGTGCTCAACTGTACATGACTTGCTTCCAACTCACCGTAACTGGTGGAGGAAGTGCTTCCCCCGGAACCGTCTCGTTCCCTGGCGCCTACAAGGCTTCTGATGCTGGCATACTTGTCGATATTCACAGGGCCCTGACTACCTACGTCGTGCCGGGCCCGACTGTGTACGCCGGAGGCTCGACCAAGAGTGCCGGTGCTGCTTGCGTTGGCTGCGAGTCGACGTGCACCGCTGGCTCTGGACCTACTGGAACCGCATCGAGCGTGCCACTGCCGACGGCCTCTGGTGGGCTGCCCGGCTGCACTGTTGCCAAGTATGCTCAGTGTGGTGGCGAAGGGTACACCGGCTGTACCACTTGTGTTGTAAGTTGACTTCTGAAATCGTAGGAGATTACTTGATGCTGACAATGCGCAAAGTCGGGCTCGACATGTCAGGCTGTTTCGGCTCCCTACTATTACCAATGTGGTTAAACTTTGTAAGAGCCCGAACTAATGTCAAGGTGCGGGCCGTATCTTTGAACGTCAACTAAGACGTCTTGAGAACGATTGCACCAAGCCCGAGAGACCTTACTATTCTTCAGGCTGGTGAGTTATTCAATTGGGGTTTGCTTTGATGTATGTCACATACAAGATTTACAGAGGCTAGTCTGCCAACAAAAGTCTAGCATCACACCATCACCACTTCTCGTGCAGTGCCTCTATCATATGTCCATACACGAAGCCTGTTACTTCTGGCCTTACATGGCTTCATATTGATGACATATGGTTTCTTTGACCAGAAGCATGTGACAGTACTCTTGAAGCACGGCTTCCACAATATGGCTCCGTGAACTGCTAACCTCAAGCCTTTTGCGATCCATTAAGGAATGATATTGATGTATAATATTGAAGCATTAGTGCTCAACAATAGAAAAAGCACATACTGGACAGTCTAGACAGGGCACGGAGCAGGTTTTCAAGGAAAATCAAATAGCAAAATCAGGCTTGCTCAATGATAATTGAATGCAATCGAAATGGAAGTCTTCCGTCCTGCCCATCTCACTCACATATAGAGTACTGGATTTGAGTTTATTTTTTCCTTCATGTACTTTCGCGTGATGCATGGGAGACCAAAAGGGTTCGCCGGTGATGTTCAAGCTATGATAATCGTCATTCAATTTACGTCGACAAAGTATTTCAATACTGCAAAAACGACAAAATCATGCTACATGATTGGGGGTATAGTACAGACACAAGGCACGCTTTTACATCCCGTACTACTTCCTGGTGACAGCTTTCAAAGTCCCCCCCCCCCCCCCCTCTTCCCCCTAAAGAAAGTAATTACAGCCCTCCCCTTCTTAGCTTCTTAGAAGTGGCCAACCTCTGGCGCTGTTGGCGGTGGACCCCTTACTTCGATTGTGAAGTTTGGCTGCCCAGGCGCCCCAGTTCTGTATGTTCTCGTTCGTCTTTGGGGGTGTCCTGGCACCTCGACCTCATCTTCCGACCAGTCAACCACTTCTTCACCTCGAACGCCCTCATGTCTGAGGCGAGGTGCTCCGTCGCCATCTCGGAATGAAACCCTTCGTGCCCTTGATTGGTCGAATGGTCGTTCCGATCTCAGCGGTTCCGGTGAAGCATAGCCGCTGTCATCGGGAGACAGGCTACCGTGAAGTGGCGTATTCGTATCTCCTTGGAATCGCGGCCCAGAGTGGCTTCCACTCCTCGTTCGAGACTTCCTCACTGTTCCGGTCCAATAGGCTTCGGATTTCTGGGCTTGTCTTTGTTGTGGATCGGGTCCCTGGTAGGGGGGTTGACCATAGATCGTTTGGTTTGGCATGAAGGGGTTGCTAGTTGCGGCAGCATCACTGTCTCTTGGTAGTGGTGGATGGCTGCCGCCAGAGTAAGGAACTTCTGATGCAGCTCGTCGATGAGATGGTCTGTGAGGAGCTTGAAAGCCTCCAAGATCTGACAGCGACTGTCCACGTACTGCCTTCAAGATTTCCTTGGCAGTAGCTTGTATAATGGGGCCAGCATCCGGTTCATCATAGACTGACGGAGCAGGCGTGGAAAAACCCCTAGAGCCAATGTCGGAGCGGAGGAGTCGCCTGCTCAATTCTGAGCGCACGTCAATGTCTCTCAGAGCACTGGCATTGTTTTCCAGCTCCTTCCGTACAGTCTTTTTCACCTGTCTGATCAAGGCTGCATCTGATGCCTTTTTCCTTTCGCGTCTTTCTTGAGCTTTCCGACCATCATCCACTTGCTGTTGCCTGAACGCCAGATCTTCCATTCCTCTCTTCATCTCTTCTATGTCATCATCTCGACTTGTTCGTTTGTGTGGCTTCTCCTGTCTTGGCTTAGGCTGCTTCTTCGATCTGGGCGCGCTTGCTTCCTCATAATATCCCTCGACTGGCTGTTGCGGTGCGGGATACGGTGGGTAATGATCCTTGTGTTGACGGGGGAAAGTAGTCTGCGGGCGAGGGCCGATATAATAAGCATGACTGCGTGGTGTGGCGGCGTACGGATGAGAGTGGACTGGTCCTTGATGCGGTACATAGTAAGAACCGTAAGGCTCGATCGGTGGAGGATATGTAGATGGCGGTGGTCCCATAGGCCGGGGCCCGCCCATCGGATTTTTCCAACCAGCAGGATGAGGTACTGGAGTATAATACGGCATTGGAGGCGCATGAATTGGATATACGCCAGGATGGGGAGGTGGTAGAGGAGGAGGAACTCCGTAGTAAGTCAACATACCCACTTCCTGGCACCCCCCTGTTTCTGGCACCCACAAAAACGCGAAAATCCACCACAACCCAATGCCCACCCCCAACCTCCTTTTATCACAACATTTTCAATTCGCGTCCAAATGGGCTCATCTTTTGCACATGTCTTCTTCTATATATAATGCCTCAATATACCGAAGATCAGCTTCGTCAGGCTCTCGAGGA